TAATAATTATTATTATTATTATTATTATTATTATTATTATTAAATGTGATATCTTAAGATTAAAAAGCATTAGAAAGGATAAATGAATAATAAAATTATCAAAAATAAGTGCAATAAAATAAATTTAATAGATCGAGACGGGACAAACATTAACATCCCATGTCTTCGCCATTTTAATTAAAAATCAGATTTCCTCGCATTTCTCTTCAATTTAATCGGGTTTCCTCGTTAGATTATGATCAATTGTGCACGTCGAATTTGGATTTTTTTTCCATGCCTATTTTTTTTATAGTAAAATCTAGCTTCATTAATTTGGCAACAACAGGAAATACATATATCATGAGGCATTTGAAATGGAACACACTCCATAGATAGCCTAGAAACAGTTCTAATGGAAAATACTACATAATCATAAGAGGCATTATACATAGTTTGATCACGAGTTAAGGTACAACCAAACCAAAAACATTAATATTTCTTCCAGCAATTCATTCTCTTGCAAACACCATCAATGATAATGTGGGAGTGAGAATCCACAATCTTTCTCCAAATCCAGTTACACATGATTTCTTTAACTTGTGGTCGCACATTTCGATTATGTTTGGTCTCAATATTGCCCAACATTTTCGAGTTTTCACGAGTTAATAGGTAACTATAAATAATGTTCTAATGGATGTTAAACACATAAGCTTCCTTAGTCATTATGAAATACCAATAGACACACATAAACATGCTACAAAACCCAAAACTCTTTTGAGGCATTTTGTCAAACACCAAGTGTGCATTCTTAAACTTTAAAAAACTAAAGCACAACACATGTAACACACAACCGAAATGAAGCAGCTCCGCTAGAAGAGATAATTTCTTATTGTAAAACAACCATGATAGCTTTTGGGGTGGGCAGACGAATGTCAGCATTGAAGGAGCAGCTACAGTGGAAAGAGGTGCATCCACCGTTGTTGAGTTTGAGGTGTGCAGAAAACCTTTAACAAATTTGTCATTTTTTGGTGGTGGTGGCTCCAGTGGTGGCCGCAAAAAGAGAAAGGGATCCTTGGTGATTGTTCGTAGAGAGTGAGGATGTCCAATGAAAGACTTAATTATGGTGAGGACATGATAACAAATATGAATATAGGGAAGAGTGAAGGTTGAGAAACACAAGAAAGTAGGGTTTGAATTGAGTTTTACATTTTGTCCCCTTTTGCAGAATTAGAAAGATAAATCTAACAATGACAATAAAAATAAATGACACAATTATTTTTATCCTGATTCACTGTTAACGAAGTTACTCCAGTCCACTCACCAAAGTAATTTTGCCTTATCACAAGGACTTAATCCAATAATCATCAATGATTACTACCACAATGGATACCTTTCATTGCTTTCTTGAGAATCCTGGCTTTCATTAGCCTCTCAAGGAATCAACCTCCAAGCCTTTAGAAACGACCTAGCTCTCTCAAGCATTCTAGTCTTCATTCGACCACTCAAGGAACATCATTCACTAAGCTATTAGAAACACGGTTAGTCATCTTAAGCATTCTGGTATTCACTCGACTGCTCAAGGAAAAACACCTTTTACAAGGATTTTCTTGTGCACTAATATGCTTCTTACAATCTGATTACACAGATGAAGTACATGAACACCAAAGTGTTTCTAAGCAAGATATGAGCAACGACTCCTTACTTTTTAATACAAAAAACCATCTAAAGAATTAACCTCTGAGAGATTATAATACATTAGTTCTGTATTGCTTAAAAGCTTTCTTGATGAGCACTACAGTTTCTTTTCTTGAGTTTTAAGCTTCTTTTTTATGAACTAATTTCTTGAGCATATAATGCATCTTTCAGTTTAACCACCAAGATCAACTAAGTTACTATGCTTCACTTATTGATGTTTCACTTAACTAGTTATACATGGTTTAGCATGTTGCATCGTTATACACATTTCAGCAATTTGCTTCAGCTTTTTCTTCATTGAGCATTCTTCATTTAGGCTTCAGCTTGTAGCATTTTCTTCAGTACTTTGACTTTGCATAACATGATATCATCAACAATCAACTATTGACAATCAGCAATCTATTCAGCCAATTCAACTCCCTTCTTCAAGCTTTTTGATCTTCAATTTATAGATCTTGAGAGAATAGATTCGTTGAGGGGCATTCTTGGAAACATATTCCAACAGCAATATCCCAACGTTCACATGAAAGAATGGTTAATATCACTCTACAAAAAGTTGCTCTTATGCCATCTTTTCGAGGTAGAGGTCATAGAGTTTTAGTATTATTATATTCAGCTCAAAACCATTCTTATCTTCAGTCTTCTAGCATCTTTAGAGGCTTCAGATATTAACTTGATGAAGCGTGTTGTAGAAGAGTCATTCTTTGTGTAATATTCAAAACCACAGTCTTTAGAATCTCAGATCTTCGTTCAGCAGAACCTAGTCATGAGAATCTTTAGCACTTAGTTTCTTAGAAGCATTACCTTCAGAGTCTTTAAAACTTGTTCTATTGGAACTTCATCTTCAGAGTCTTCAGCACTTCGTTAAATCAGAACCTTGTCTTCAAAAACTCTTCAGAACTTGATCTTTATAAATGATGTCTTCAGAATCTTCAGAGCTTTGTTCACCATAACCATGTCTTTAGAATCTTCAGAGTTGTATCAATAAAAAATGCATTTCTTGTAAAGACTTCTAGGCTTACTTATAAAGTATTAATCAGAAACCTTGTTACTAACGTTCCTTAGAACCGTTGTATTAAAAGTATTTCTGAATCTTGACTTTATCTTGTACACATATATGTTTAGTGTTGATAATCAGAGTCTGATGACGTCACACGTCTTCTTATCAGAATCAGAATCATATTGACAACAACCACACACTAGACAGAAACCATATCACATAAAATTGTTCTTTTAAATAACATGTGCAGTTATCATCAAAACTAAAAAACTAGATATAAAACCAAATCTTGTTCTTACAAAGAGTACTCTCAAAAGAGAGAGACATAACCACCATAAAAGTGGAAAAAGATGACCACCACAAAAGTGGGGAAATTTTACCCCATACCCCCACAATTATACCCATACCCCTACACTAAATTTTTTTGGACCAAAATACCCTCGTATAAAAAGTTATAATTTTTTCGTTTGTTTACCGGAAGACTTTTTGGAAGTCTTCCGGTTCACATTTTTTTTGGTTTGTTTACCGGAAGACTTGGTTCACATTTTTTTTGGTTTGTTTACCGGAAGACTTCCAAAAAGTCTTCCGGTTCACATTTTTTTTGGTTTGTTTACCGGAAGACTTCTAAAAAGTCTTCCGGTTCATGTTTTTTTTTTAATTTTGATTTTTTTTAATATTCCAATTACAAATATATTTATTCTATTTACTCTATTTATTCTATTTTAGTTAATTAATATATTTATTCTATTTACTCTATTTATTCTGTAATTTGTTATATTTATTCTATTTATTTATTTAATAATAATTATTCTATTAATTTGATTTTTTTTATTAATTTACTATATTTATTTATTTAATAATAATTACTCCACTAATTTGGTATTGTTTATTTTAATCAATAAAAATAAAAGTTGTTAACTAATTTATATATTAATTGTGTTCTTTAAAGAAAGAAAATTAACAATTTAATAATATGTTTATATGAAAAATAAAAACAAATATCATATTTAAATTATAATACTATCATTTCTTCTATCAAAAATTTTCACCAAAAAATTATAATATATAACATTTATAATTATTTAAACAATAATTATTAACTTTTAAAATATTAATAACTAATTAAATCATAAATAATGACATTTAAAACCGCCACCTTTATGGTTGCTTAATTAAATAAAAAAACTTATAAAATAAAATAAAAAACACGATCAATATTTATGATTTAATTAGTTTTTAATATTTTAAAAGTTAATATTTTACCCCTACAAATTTTAAAAGTTAATATTTTATGGTGAAAATTTTTAAAAGTATATTTTACCCCATAAAATATTTTTTAAATAATTATAAATGTTATATATTATAATTTTTTTGTAAAATTTTTTTATAGAAGAAATGATAGGATTATAATTTAAATATAATATTTATTTTTATTTTTCATATAAGCATATTATTAAATTGTTAATTTTCTTTCTTTAAAGAACACAATTAATATATAAATTAGTTAACAACTTTTATTTTTATTGATTAAAAAAAACAATATCAAATTAGTGGAGTAATTATTATTAAGTAAATAAATATAGTAAATTAATAAAAAAATCAAATTAATAAAATAATTATTATTAAATAAATAAATAAAATAAATATAACAAATTACAGAATAAATAGAGTAAATAGAATAAATATATTAATTAACTAAAATAGAGTAAATAGAATAAATAGAGTAAATAGAATAAATATATTTGTAATTTGAATATTTAAAAAAATTAAAAATTAAAAATTAAAAAAAAAACATGAACCGGAAGACTTCCAAAAAGTCTTCTGGTAAACAACCAAAAAAATGTGAATCGGAAGACTTCCAAAAAGTCTTCCGGTAAACAAATAAAAAAAAAATATAAACCGGAAGACTTTTAAAAAATCTTCGGGTAAAATTATAACTTTTTATACGAGGGTATTTTGGTCCAAAAATTTTAGTGTAGGGGTATGGGGTAAAATTTCCCAAAATGGGGGATAACCACCAAACCCTAGTAAGTTTAATTAAGAAAAAAAATTTAGAGAGAAGAAGGAGCATCTCTCTAAACTTAAAACCCTGGTAGTTTTCTTTACTTTGTTTTTTCCATGCCTAATTAGTAATTACTACTCACTTTGAATAACCAAATCTTAAAAACTCATTTTCTTTAAAATAGGAAAACAAAATTTCCCTGAAATTAAAAAAAGAAAAAAAAGGAAGAAAGTGGTTGGTGGTAGTGTAGTGGTAAAGCGAAGAAGAAGAGGATGAAGAGAAGAAACAAGAGTAGATAAGAGGTGAACACGACACGTGGGAACCATGTCCACTTCAACATGTTTCTCTTCCCTTCCTCCACCTTCTTTCACCAAAACCAAACCATCTCCAAGTAAGTAACCACCTCGTACCTTCCATCACTTCAATTTTCTCAAATTATCACAAGCATCCACATGTTACTGTCGTGTTCAATGTTTGTGTCTGTTTAAGTGTTTCATTGAATCAATTTGTGACGTGTATTTGATTAGTGTGTAGCATGAGCAAGGATCCAGTTCGAGAGTGGATTCTCTCTGAAGGAAAAGCTTCAAAGATAACCAAAATTAGTCCTATTGGTGGTGGTTGCATAAATTTCGCAAACCGCTATGACACTGATGCTGCTTCTTTCTTTGTTAAATCAAACAGGTTATATCAACTATCAAACATTCATATATTGATATTCAACTGTTTTTCTTTTCATGGTTGATATATCTGTTGCATTATTCTCTATATCAGGACTATTGGACCATCAATGTTTGAGGCAGAAGCTCTTGGTTTAGGAGCTATGTACGAAACCGGAACCATCCGTGTGCCTAAGCCATACAAGGTGACAAGATTTAATCCTCTATGAAACACAGACAGACACGATGACACTGATAATAATTTGAGAAATTGAGGTAACTTGTTGCTAGGATTTGTAGGTTGGACCGCTACCAACCGGTGGCTCTTTCATCATTATGGAATTCATAGAATTCGGGGGATCTAGAGGCGATCAGGTGAGTTGGGTTTCGTAGAAATTAATTTTAACTAGGAAAGCTTATACACCTTAAATTGTAGGAGTAATATCTTGCTTCCCAGTCTGTTCTAGGGAGAAAGCTGGCTGAAATGCATAAGTCTGGAAAATCTAGTAAAGGCTATGGTTTCGACGTTGAGAACACGATTGGCAGGTATGTTACAACTTCATCATGAATGCTATCAATGGTGTTTATCGTGCGTTTTTACATGTTAAGAAGGCTTTGTAATTTTACCTGATTGATTTTTGACTATATGATTTATGTTTTGCTGTAGCACTCTGCAGATAAATACATGGTCATCAGATTGGATTCAATTTTACGGAGAGCATAGATTAGGTTACCAGTTGCAGCTCGCATTAGACCGATATAGTGACCGGACCATTTTTGAAAAAGGTGTTCCTGCATAGTACTACTGCACTTTCCGTCGACTTATATTGAAATTGAATGCACAGACATGTTAGATGCATGCAAGATTGCATCAAGTTTATATCTGATCGAGTTGCTCAACAGGGCAAAGACTGGTGGAAAACATCGCACCGCTGTTTGAGAATGTGGTGATAGAACCATGCTTGCTTCACGGAGATCTCTGGAGTGGAAACATAAGCTCTGACAAAAATGGAGAGCCTGTCATATTGGATCCAGCATGTTATTGTAAGTCAAACATTTCTTACAAGGTGCTGTTTGGAAACTAAAATTTGAAGTTTCTCATATAGTAGTGACTTTCATTCATATGGCTTCACTTTTTATTGTCTACCGAAAATGCTGAGTCTTGATAATAGTAGAGACTTCTATATCATATATAATGTAAAGTCTCTTGTGAACATTGTTAGCTACTTTTCTGTTTGGTAACCATGTCATTTGTGAAGTATCCACCAGTTTTCTCTTATTCTATAGATGGACACAATGAGGCAGAATTCGGTATGTCTTGGTGTGCTGGATTTGGAGGCTCATTCTATAATTCTTATTTTGAGGTAATATTCATATTAGTTTATCATGTAAAATATCTGTAAAATTCTGTAATTTTTAGATTTTGATGATTTCAAATGATCTCGCTCTCCAGGTAATTCCTAAACAGCCTGGCTTTGAGAAGAGGAGAGACTTATATATGCTTTATCACTATTTAAATCATTATAATCTCTTTGGCTCTGGATACAGATCATCTGCCATGTCTATCATTGATGATTATCTAGCTTATTTAAAAGCTTAGGATTGTAAAAGTTATTGAACAAGCTTATTCAAATGAGGCTCTTTTCTTGTACATATCAGTAACATTTCCTTCTAAGGTCTCTTCATTTTGATGATCAAGAAAAACTGGAGGTGGGTAGGTTGAATTAAGATGCTACATTGTTGCGAAAATTCCATATATAGTGATGAGGAGTACCGATCCTCTCATTCACGAAGGAAGAGGTAAAGGAGTTCATCACCCAAATGAAGGGTACGAACTCTCTTGTGTGTGATGGACTCCTTGCTATTAGTTATCTGAATTTAAGCCATTAGAACATTCATTTCTTCTTTATTCAACCTTAATCTTGTGACCTTGTTACAACCCATTGAAAGGAGTACTGGAGTTTGGTGGAGAATGGATTCCCTACAGCAGAAGGAGTGGTGCTGTAATGGTTAAATCAATTGGGGAATATGAAAGATTGTATTATTAATAACTCAACTACAACTTCCAGTGTATGAATTAAAAGGTATTGAGTAAGAATTACAATCTTAAGAGGAATGAATGTAAGAATATAGGAGAGAACTCTCAGAGCAGGGAAAGAAGAAAAGAATTTCTCACAAAATCATTCACTGTCACATTCTCAATCCTATTCTATATATACTAGGGTTAGGTGAGGAAATCTTGCAGCCTGCACGATGGAAAACGAGCCCTCATTCCCTTCCTCACTCTCTGAATTTGTGGATCTATAACAGAATTTGTTGTATCTTCATTTTCTAGAACCTTTGCCACCTGTTCCTTTTGCTGATGTGGCCCTTTCATTACAATACCTTCCCCTTTAAAATCAACCTTGTCCTCAAGGTTGAAGTTAGGATTGTTTCGAGCTATTTCATCATCTTCCCATGTAGAATCCTTATCACTCAAGTTTTCCCATTTAATCAGCACCTGTGGAATGACTTGATCATTTCTCATGATATCCCTCCTTTGGAGTACTGTTGTAGGCTGCAGAATGGGTCCCAATCCCAACTCATGTGTAGTCAATGCTAACGGGATATATGGATCAGTACTTTGGCCCTTAAACTGCTTCAGTTGAGATATGTGGAATACTGGGTGGATTCTAGCTTTAGGAGGCAAGAGGAGTTTGTAAGCAACTTGTCATATTTTCTCACTGATGGTAAATGGTCCAAAATAGTGCATCCTCAATTTCTGATTCTTTCGCAAAGCTACTGAATTATGTCTGTAGGGTTGTAATTTTACTAACACTTGCTCTCCTACCTCAAATTGTACATCCCTTCTATGTTTGTCAGCTTGAGCCTTCATAACTTGTTGTGCACGCCTAAGATTATTCTTCAATTGAGCTAACAATATATCTCTCTCCATCAGTTGTTGTTGCACACCCAATGTATCAGCTGGTGAATGATTGTATCTAATCAATGTAGGGGGTGGTCTTCCGTATACTGCTTGAAAAGGTGTCATACCCAAGCTAGTATGAAAAGCTGTATTGTACCAGTATTCTGCCCAATCAAGTGCCTTAAACCATGACTTTGGATTTTTGAAAGTGAGACATCTCAAATACATCTCAACACATTTATTGAGAGCCTCTGATTGCCCATCAGTTTGTGGGTGATATGCTGATGACATGGCCAAAATAGTGCCCTGCAACTGAAAAAGATCCTTCCAAAATCTACTCATAAACACCTTGTCTCTGTCAGGTACAATGGATTTAGGCATACCATGCAGCTTAACTATAGTTTTCATAAATGCTTCAGCTACGGTCCTGCTGTTGTAGTCCGCTTTTAAGGGGGTAAAGTGACTATACTTTTTTAGCCTGTCAATGACTACCATGATGACAGTGTAACCATGAGAGGGGGGCAACCCTGTGATAAAATCCATTGCCACATCTTCCCAAACCTGCTCTGGTATTGGCAATGGTTGCAGTAAGCCAGCAGGAGCTCGAGTATCGTGTTTGGCTTGCTGACAGATCAAACAATTTTGGACAAATTCTGCAATATCATGTTTCATATTTTTCCAGAAAAACTAAGCAGAAACTCTAGCCATTGTTCTTGCTATTCCTGCATGACCACCAACAGGAGAAGAGTGAAACTCAAGCAACAATTTAGTTCTCAATTGTTGATCATCTGGGACCACAATTCTGTCTTGCCAGTATATTAATCCTTCTTTTTGCATGAACTTCCGCCTCTGTACGGTGTCCGAAGTACCAATCAGAGCTTGTAAATGGCTGTCTTTTTTAGTACTTCTTCTTAATTCCTCTTACAGTTCAACTTCAAGTTTAGACTAGGCCATTAAGCAAACTCTTGATAACGCATCTGTTGCCACATTTTTCTTACCTGGCTTGTATTCTATGGTAAAGTCATAACCAATGAATTTGTGCAACCATGCCTATTGCTCAGGAGTTTGTAAAGACTGATCCATTAAACTCTTCAAAATCTTTTGGTCTATCCTGATAATGAATTTTTGCCCTAATAAATAGTGTCTAAACTTAGCAATGGCTTCAGTTATAGCAAATAACTCTCTAGTGTAAGTTGATTGCTTCTGCATTCTAGGTACCATTTTTTTAGGAAAAAACAATTGGATGGCCAAGCTGGCTCAACACAGCTCCTGCCCCCGTGCCAGATGCATCTGTTTCAATTGTGAAAGGTATAGAAAATTGAGGAAGTGCCAGAACAGGTGCAGTAGTAATGGCTACCTTGAGTTTCTCAAAAGCTTTTGTAGCTTCTGCGGTCCACTTAAAGCCTTCTTTCTTTAATAAGTCAGTGAGAGGGGAAGCTATTGCAGCATATCCTTTAACAAATCTTTTGTAGTATCCAGTAAGGCCAAGAAAACCTCTGAGTTGTTTGACATTGTTGGGTTGACGCCACCCGAAAACTGTTTACACTTTGTCTTTGTCCATTGCCACACCTGTACCAGAAATTGTGTGACCTAGATAATATATTTCCTCCATGCCAAAAGAACACTTGGATAGTTTTACAAATAATACATTATTTTGTAAAATCTGCAAAACTGTCTCCAAATGGTGTAAATGAGCAGAAAATGAGGGGTTATAGACAAGTATATCATCAAAAAACACCAAGACATACTTCCTCAAGAATGACTGAAATATCTGATTCATTAAGCACTGAAATGATGCAAGGGTATTAGTTAACCCAAAGGGCATAACTAACTATTCATAACGGCCTTGGTGTGTTCTGAAAGCTACTTTGTATCTATCACTAGGCTTTACCAAGATTTGATGGTAACCAGACCTCAAATCAAGCTTCGAGAAACATTTAGCTCCAAATAACTCATCCAAAATTTCATCTACAGTAGGCATAGGGAAAGAGTCTTTCACAGTAATAGCATTTAAGGCCCTATAGTCAGTGCAGAATCTCCATGTTCCGTCTTTCTTTTTGACCAAAACAATTGGTGAAGAGAAGGGACTACTACTTGGTTGAATGATGCCCTCTGTGAGCATTTCCTGGATCATGATTTCAATTTGGTCCTTCTGGCTTTGTGGATATCTATAAGGTCTAACCTTGACTGGTCCTTTCCCTTCCATCAAAGGTATAGTGTGGTTTTGTAATCTTGGTGGTGGCAAACCTGTAGGTTTGTGGAAAACTTCTTTGAACTTGTTCAACAGTAGCACTAATTCTGGTTCCATATTAGTAGGTATCTCTAACCAACAGTCCTGCTTTGTAATAGGTTCAGCTCTATGGATGGCAAAGCAAGCTTCAATAGCATCGGTTTGGTACAAACGCCTCATGTGATGTAGTTGAGCTTGTTGTGGGACCTGGCTTTCTTCCCCTTGTAGTGTCACAAACTTATCTTTATCAAAAAATTTAATGGCTAATGACTGATAGTCTGCTACACGTGGTCCCAATTTAGCTAGCCATGTAGCTTATAATATCAAATATGCCCCCACAATGGGTAACATATACACAAGAATCTTGATGTCATGGTTTTGGAAAGCTACACAAAGTTCAGATATGGACCCCTCAGGACTTGGGGAATTTCCATTTCCTACTAATACTTTAAAGAAAGGTGCAGGAGCTATATCCAATTTCAAAAAATGAGCAATTCTAGGTTGTAAGAAATTGTCTGAACTACCCCCATCCACCAAAATCTAAATTGGCATTCTACTAATATGACTTGTGAATTTAATTGTGCCAACACCAGTTGCCCCTCTTAAAGCATTGAAGGATAAATGCAGTTCAAGTTGTTTATCTTCTACTGTGACAACTTGGTTCTCATTAGCATCCTCACAATCACTGTCATCCTCCTCTATTTGCAATATCATCAAATTTCGATTAGGACATTTGTGACTAAATGACCATTTCTCATCACAGGTATAACACAACCCTTTTTTCTCTTCTCATTTGCATTTCAGCTGAACTTATTTTTTTGACATTTTGGTTTTTTGAATAGGTATTTGTGGGTTTTGAGTTTGGAGTTGGTAATAATGGAGGTATGTTGGTTCTGTTTGGGTTAGGATTGTTGATATGTATTTAGTCTGGTGGTTGAATTGTTTGGTTGATTTCTAGTTATGGGTTTGCATTTCTCTTCAAAGAGTTTAGCTAGAGCTACTGCTCTTTGAATAGAATTGGGTTCTTGAGCTATAACTTCTCTCTGCAAATCGGATTGTAAACCACCGACAAAACAGTCTAATAATGCATTAGTACTAACACCATAGACTCTATTTGCAAACGATGTAAATTCCAAATAATACTCTGCAACACTATCTTTTTGTGTCAATTTAAATAATGTAGCGCGAGGACAATCATAACAAGGGCCAAAATCTACCTAGATAGCACGCGTGAACAATTGTCATGATTGGAAAGGGTTAGTTCGTTGCATCATCTGGTACCACAACACCACTTTTTAATCTAGATGAATTGTCGCAATCATCAAACGATCAACATCTGATGTGTTGTAATACTCGAAGAACTGCTCAGCTTTGAAGATCCATTCAATTACGTGTGTACCATCGAATATGGGGAATTCAAGCTTCACACTTCTGGTGTGGAATGGAGCTTGATTTTTGTGTGAGT